CACACAGGATCTTGTATTCCAGATAAACAGTAAAATATGTTTGTGAACAGATTTGAGGAGAGAAACAGTCAACAACAGAATCTGGATCCATATCTGATCAGCACTGTTTGACAGTTTGATCTGAGTTTGGTGCGTTGAGCTGGACGGACTCACTGAGAATGAGCTGTCAATCACAATGTAGCCCCGCCCTAAAGCATACCCTGCTTTATGGTCTGTTTTACTCTCAATGGGACCATCAGTTACTAAATGAACATCATGCTGTATGGAAGAAGACTGAAACTAGAGACTGAGACCAGAAACTCATCAGGAAACTGTTTACTGAACTCATAAATCAACTGAGAAGTCGGGTCATTTCTCCATAAGACTCCATACTATCAGCCCATGTGGCTGCCCCCTGCTGGCCAATACATAGAATGCAGGTTTAAGAGACACAACTTCACTTCACAGACCCGGAAGCTCTGTCCACTAATTATGTATTGTCAATGGTTTGTCAGTTTGAATAAAATTAAACTAACAGCTAATTGACCTTTTTCACAGCAGCCATTCTGACATGAAATAGTAGGGTAAACACAGTTGTTACCAATAATTAATGTTCTGTTCCACTCAGGTCAAACAGGGTCAGTTTTGCTTCACTGGAAAGGCTCTGCTACACTAAATGGAACAAAACACCTGTGTTTACCCTACTACTTAATGTCAAAATGGCTGCTGTGAAAAGGTCTATTAACAAATATTAGCACAATGACATTCACAACGGTGAAGATGTCACACATTAGCATTGTCATGTCAATTTGTGTAAAATACGACAATGACTTCAACAGACCCACCTTTAGGTTTTGTCTACATTACATCAGCAGGGTCAAAGATTTGATGTACACTGTTAAACAAACACTACTCCAGCAATAGTATTGATTATGTCCCGAATGGTAAATAGACTAACAGACTGTGGTCAATCCCCCAATGTCAGGGAGTCACATTTCTTCTGGTTCAAGGAACAAACATCAGACAAATGGTGTTGTCACCAAAATGTCACCAGGAGTTCCCGTCACAGCTCAGTCAAGATGCCAATAAAGCACTAAACTGCTCCAGAAGCCAAAGACCGTGAAACACGAAGCCCCCAAAGGGCCTCATTTTGGGGGAGCTCTAAAATACCTTTTGGTAACTGCTGGTTTTTTTTTTTCTGTACACATGCATATTTTCCTGTATATTTAGGTTTTTAAGATAAATAACAGGTTAATAGTGAAGCACTTATCAACGTGTGTGTCTATTTTCACACAACAATTTCACATCATTTGTCTCTAATAAACACAATGCTGACCTCATGCAGAGCTCATTATGCACTGGGCATGTTCGCAATTGTCACAGGATGCAACCTAGATCTGGTGTGTTTAATAAAGTAATGAAAACTATTGCCAAAGAACCATATTGATTGTTGCTTAGCGGAGAGCAATTTAAAGGTGAATAATTCTTCAGTTTCTTTGTTGTGCCAGGCTAAATAGTCTCTTTATGGGGAGGCAATAGCTCAGTATGTAGGGACCTGGCTTGGAAACCGGAGGGTTGCTGGTTCCCACAGACCACATTATGGAGAGTGGATTGGTAGCTGGAGAGGGGCCAGTTTCACCTCCTGTGCACTGCTGAAGTGCCCTTGAGCAAGGCAACCTAACCCCAAGAAACTGCTCATGGGGTGAAAATAACAATTTCCCCTCGGAGATTAATAAAGTATATCATCTTCTTCTTATGGATTAAAATGTATTGATAGTATATTCTCGCTCCCCCGAAATCCCCATTCGAATTCAAATTCTGCTTATGACTATATTACAGGGGTGGATTTAGAGAAATATTAATGGGGTTACAAGAGGGTGGCATACATGCTAATTTAATTGCAATCAATCACATATATAAATATTTACTTGAAGATATGAAGATATTTTAACTCAAAAACATTATTATTATTGTTCCACATCCAAATTATCAGACATTTCTCCGAATACATGTATTTTTTCATTCTTATCACTTTGTCTTAAATGTGGCCATAACATCATTAAATTAATTTCTGTTTTCTAACACATTATTTTCTAAATTAAGTTAAATTGAGGTGTTCATTTGGCAGCTGCCACCTCATGCTACCCCTCCAGATCCCGTAATGTACAGATCATAAACTGTAGTTCCTTGAATGGCCACTTGAGGCTGGCTACAGAAATGAGTCAATCTCCATTAGTCCCCATATTAAAATGTCCAACTTTACAGCAGAAAGAAATAAACATGTTTACAGACTGGTACAAAACAATGGTTTCAGTCTCTATAGCTAAATTCATGACTGTACGGGGGCTAAATTTTTACATAAGTCTCCCGTTTAAGTTATGTAAGTTATGCATAATTAGGAGTATGGCTGCTTTAAGTGACAGGTGGGTCTATTTTTAGCAACCAGGCTTCATTCAGCCCACCTCAGCTCCACCTTTTTGCATACCTATGGGTGAAATCACAGAGAGACTATGCCCATTTGTATTTACATAGCCTTTGGTAGGGACCAATGGTGACAGCAGAAGGAGCAAGTTGTGTTGGCCACTTGGGGTTTTTCAGGTCAGAAGTCCCTCGTGTGAGTTTTCATCATTACAAATTGATCAGTGAAGGAGGCACAGTGTCAACAGCTGTTACAAAATCTTTCACTGTCAATGAAATTATTTAAAGTCCACACAAAGAGAAGAACACACACCTGAATGTGTCAAGTGCCAGCGGCGTGTTCATTTATTAGGATTTGCATTGTTCATCAAGCTGCCGTTGGCTTCTGTGTTGACCATGAGAATGGAAAGGCAGAGCTGGACACAATAACAAAACCCAGCACAACCACATGGTGCTCTACAGTTGGCCACTAAGCATTTCTACCAGAGCTGAATCACTACGGTTGGCGGAGGGGGGAGAGCATTTCTAAGCTTTTACTAACATTTTTCTGTTAGGATGTTTGTTTTTGTTTTTTTAAAGGTTTTATGCAGCACAAGTAAACATTTCTATCATAGAAATCGAACAATAAAAACTGTGCTGGGCCACTGCAAGTATTCTGTTCTAGAGTAAGGAAAGTGACTTCTGGTCCTTCATGCTCAGCTAATCTCTGGAATGACCTGATTAACGTCTGGTCGCTTTCTGCTCTGGATAGCAGCGTCTGCCAGATGATGTAAATATTAACAAACCCTCGTCTTCAGGGCTTCGTCTCAGCGCAGTGCTGAGGTGATACCTTAGACTACATTTCAGGTTGACTGGCCTCGGAGCTGAAGCCACTGTACCACTGAGAAAAACTGTCATTTTTTTGTCTGTGGATTTGGCTTTTTCTGGCTTTTTTTAAGCAAAGACAGTAAAGTGAGTTTACATTTACAGCAAAAAAACTTACACTTGATGGATAATTTGTAGTTGTTTTTAGAGTAATATATTTAAATTTGAATACTTTCAGGCCAATATACATAAATTATGAGTATTTTCCCACTGCATATGTATTCATTGCAGTGTGAGAGAGCTTGTCCCTTAAACCTACAGATACTATAATCTAAATGAACATAAACCTGAAGTAATAACATATAAAGTCCAAGTTACAATAAAATGAAATTGCACTGTAGGATTTTTGGTGTGTGGTCAAAATTTCCAGAGGGTGGGGGTGAGAGGTTGGACTGATCCTACTCATTAAACTCACTGAACTAAGTGGTAAAGTCCCTGTGAGGGCAGCCTGGCTCTGTTTAAGTAATCCTTGATACAAAGGTGTATTTTCTATTCAATTCAATTTCAAATCAATTTTATTTGTATAGCGCCAATTCATAACAGAAGTTATCTCAGGACACTTTTCAAATAGAGCAGGTCTAGACCGAACTCTTTAACATTTTCTACAGCTGACTTCAGAGCTCTTTTATTATATTTAAAGTGCCTTTCATTATTCTCTACTCCTCCCAGTTCACTTCAAAATCAAAAATCAAACAGCAGTTACTTTATATACTCTTAAAGTACAGCTACAGTGATAAAGACAGCCTTTATAAAGCGTTATAATTAATGTAATTAATGGATATTACACATTTAATTCATGCTTTATAAAGCTCTAAACCATTCATAAGAAAACATTTAGGTTGCCAGGTAATCTGTTAAAGGTAACAAACGGGAGTTTTTTTTTACAACATGGCAACCCAAAGCTTAGCCTAGTTACAGTGCCTTTATATGAACCCTTAATAAAGCATTACCTATTAGAAAGTGGCTCCATTTAACGTGAAAATGACTTTGATTATAGATTATTTATTTGCAACTTCTTCTTGTGCATAGTAATGCCACAAAAAAAATCGGACTAAAAACAATATCAAAGGCGACCTCTTATGACTAAATGGAAATATTGTGTGTTGTGCGAGGCTGCGTCCACGCTGCCGGCTCTCTCTCTCTGCGGGCTTTCCCGTCTGAGCTCAGCAGCCAGTCTGCAGAGACACATGCGGTTGTGGTGGTGGAGGTTTGGCTCGGGGTGTTTTGGTGTGATCTTGCTCTGGTCTATAATAATGCAATATTATCCCTCCACCATGCAGACAGATCTCCACAGTGCGTCGCAGGCTGACGATCACGCTTCTAGATAGATAGATAGATAGATGTTTGAAGGATCGAAACGGGATTAATGTGGAGCCGGGACACAACTCTGGATGACCCTAAAATAAGGCCTGTCAGCGGGATAATTTTGACAGATAAGGGTGAGTTTCCGGCGCGCAGAGTCACAGGGGGACACAGACTCCGATTGGAGCTGAATTATGATTTGATTTTAAAGAGTATTAGATTTTTAGATTACTTCTGAGGATGAATGAAGAGTTTCACGGTGGTTCAGAGACGGTTCACTTCAGTGCCCCATTACGCATGTGGGTTGGAAACGCCACATTTGTTCTGATTTAGTCCTGGAAGCTTATATTGCCGGTGAGATGTCCAAAAGCTCCAAAAGGAGCTGAATGTCCTCTCCTCAGCCGTCCTTTGCCCTCTCACTGACGGTTTTATAGGTTATATTTACAACACAGATGGATCTTCACCCTGTCACTCGATATAAACGTGGCTAGAAACGTGTGGAATTTCTGAGATAAGATGATAAAATAACTTATTGAAAAGAGAAATACAGCACGTATCTTTAACAAAACTCGTGTTTTTCTATTACTCTGAGCATTTGGTCCCTATCTATCTGTTCAGCAAACTTTGAGGGAAGCCTAGATCATCGATTAAGCCGCTTGGCTGGCCGCAGACTGTCAGCATCTTATCACATTCCCAGCTGATGGGGAGTAGACCAGTATTTGTCTTCCCGGGGGAATGCCGGGTCATAAACGTGAGTTCTGACGAGAAGCGCTCAGCGGCAGCTCAGGTATCATCTGGTACCTGTTAGAGAGCAGTGAGACCAGCGTCAACCCAGGAGAGAACATCCGGCTAGGACTCAGCTTTCAAAGTAAAACCGTAACGACCGTGGTGACGGACACCTCTGTGGTCTGGCAGTGACGCAACAGATGCAGAGGTGAGAGGGACTTTTTCTTTTTGAATCCAATGACTGATCAGCTAAAGGAAGAAAAAGTGCGTGTGGGAGAGGGGAGGAGGAGAGAGGGGGAGGAGAGAGGGGGAGGAGAGAGGGGGAGGGAGAACTGCAAGGCACGCAAGGAAAGAAAAAAGCCTCCTGAACCTGCGTGTTCTTTTATTTTGAAATCAGGCTGTATTTATGTGTGTGTATCTGCGTCTTGTATTTGACTGCAAGGAGCCGCAGGCCAGCCTGTTGCGCACTTGGCGGCACACACAGACAGAGCGCACCAGAAGCTGCGTGGATGGACAGTTCCTGTGATGGACTTCCCTTAATGACTTTTATGGCTAATTTATGATTGGATGATTGGATTCCCACCTCAGGTCGGCTTTTCTTCTCATTTGACAAAGGAAGGCTCATTACAGCGTGTCACCGCTGAGCGGATACAGCCTTTACGCATCCCGGGAGCGGGGACAAAAAGGGAATCTCGAGGTGCGTGTGTACCTGTGCGTATGTATGTATGTTTGTGCGTGTGCGTTTTTGGATGTAGATGTTCAAACTTCTGTTTGGAAACACACAAGTGTTGCTCCGGTGCGTGTGTGTGTGCATGTGTGTGTGTGCAGCTGGCAGCCTTTAGTTGACCAGGAATACTTTCACTTTCGTCACTTTGCTTGTGGCTTAAGGGGAGTGACAGGATGCAAGCAGTGGCCACATCGTACATTTTACTGCCGCTGTCACAGATCCTGTACGATAAGTTGAGACCCAGAAGGGACATTTTGCTTCTTCGCTGCAGCAGCTCAGCTCAGACTGCACAAAACATCCGCATCGGATCATTTCAACACTGTGTGAGCAGTGAGAGAGTTCAGGTTACACAATTAAGAAGTTCAAGTTACTGAGAGACTGTTTAAACCAGTGATGATTCATTGATTTTATACTGAAAGGAACAAACTTGAGAGAGAAACACAGTCCAATTAAACCTTCCCTTTCCCAGAATGCTTCTTTCTGACATGGTGAGAGAAGTACATGCAGCCACAGGTTGCTTTTCCAGCTTACTCATTTCAGTTTTTATGCAGTTGATTGGGCATTGTTCGGGCCATGATGTGCAAACACAGCAGGTATTTCTGCTTTATTTGATCACAGTGCAGCATTAAGTGGACTGTGACCACTGCTCACTCTGCCTGCAGGTCCTCTGCTGCAGGTCCTGCTGGGTAACAGCCTCTGTTACTGCAGAGTGAGACACCCTGCTTATACTGCCATTTGAGCAGCTGTCAGGTCGTTGAGATACAACCCATATGAGCATGTTTTTTTTATTCGTTATTTTTGGTGAGCTAAAGAGGCTGGAATTATAGGGACAATGTAGGATAACAAAAACTTTAAAAATAGAGCAAGAGAGGGAACAGAGGAGGGCAGGAGAAAAGAAGAGGAAAGCTGCAGTGAGTCAGCCCCGAGCAATGTGTGTGTGGTCCTGTGCTTCTATCCTTGTGAGGACCAGTCTGAGGTGGACCTCTTTTGTGTTTGTGTGTGTGTGTGTGTGTGTGTGTGTGTGTGTGTGTGTGTGTGGACATTTTTACCCAGTTGTCACGGGTTAAGGGTTAGGACTGCTTAGTTTTCGGGGTTAAAAATTGGGATGAGGTTAACACATGCGATGCTGATGGATAAGGTTAAGGATATGGGAGGAATGTAGACTCTGTTGGGGCCTTACAAGCACATTAATATACAAAATAAACAAACAAGTAAATAAAAAGGATGAAGGGCAGGGAAGCTTCAGTTTACTTCAACCTGTATATATATATAATCTGCTACATATGTGTATATATGTAAACCAGATATATATATACATGCATGTGATAAAGCCATGCAGTTTATTATTGGAAAGGGAACCCAAATCACAGACCCTGTCATTCTCTGCACTCTGAGGGCAGCTTAGAGATGCAGCTTTTATGCATGATTGCCTGTGCGGGTGCCAGAGGTTCAGCACGAGAGCGAACATGTTGTAAGATTCGTGTTTTATGTGTGGTCAGGTGAGCATCCTGCGACCTGTGTTGTTGTTGTGTGTTTTGTTGCGCTGGATGACAAAAAGAGCTTTTTACTGAATACTTGTCATCTGTTACATGTTCAAACCTGAGATGAGCTCATCGGTTTAAAGACTTGAGGGCACTGATATGATTATCCAATGTTCTGCCAGCAACGGTATGCCCACATGTATGTGTGACATGAGCAGTGTGTATGCTCTGGTGACCCCTAGAGTGCGTCATGGTAATATTGTTTCTATCTTACATAGTGTCAGGTGTTGATAAAAAAAATTGTAATGCTCAAATTGGACCAAATCCAATTATATCTGATTTTGTCTGAGTTTGTCTCCATGCCAAAATCAGTTATTTTAGGCTTAGTTACAGAGCATGTTATGGCAAAGTTGAGCTCGACACTCGCCCGCGGGTCATGGGAGTCTTTGCTTCGGCTGTCAAAGAGGTCACCCCCCCAACCCCCCCAAAAAATAAATAAATAACTCACTTTTACTTTCTTAGTAAAATAACTTCCCTGCCACCTCCCCTGCTGTCCCAAAAAGGCGTTACTTTTATTATCCGTTAAAGTTGCTTCACTCCTGCGCTGCAGTCACAAAAGTTCAGAGGTGGAAACCTTATCTTTACGGTTGAGGCACTGCTTCTAAACTGGCATTTACCTTCTTCCATAAATCCGCTGGCCCTCTCTCTGGAATGTAATGACACTTAATGAAAAACATAGCTACTAAAATATGCCTGCTACTGTGTCATGAGGTGATCACACTTGTGCCCTTGTTATACAGTTTTTTTTTATTTTTGGAGCCTGTCTACATGCAGCGTGTTGTAATTACAACCTACACACAGCTCCGTCCATTTCTGCAGGCTGTGAAAGAGACAGTTGGGTTCAACAGCAACAGGTTGGCTGCCTGCCACAGAGACTTCGCCACTGGTGATACATTGAACCAGCCGGGAAGTCACAGTTAGTCGGCTGGCCAATCGATGAGGTGTGACATCTTGCTGTGGAGCGCTGGAATAAATCTGATTAGAGAGAGATGAAGAGGGTGTGAAAGAGAGAGGGGGGGTGGTTGAGGGGCGGTTAAAGAGGAAAAAGGGAGTGAGGGAGGAAAGGGCTGAAGGAAGGAATGACTCATAATTTAGTTTATTGTCTAGATAAATAGAGCATATAAAGGATTAAGTAAATACTGAGGCGTGTTTAAATGTCTCTTCATCAGTTTGTTCTGTTGATGTGTGACATAAATGTTCTGTGTTTGAGTGAGTGCGACAAATCAGTAATGGGATGGTAAATGGACTGTACTTATATAGCACCTCTAGTTCTCACTCAAAGCACACTGCACACAACACACGCCACATTCATCCATTCACGCAGCGATGACGAAGGCCATCACAAACGGAAAGTAATTCACTCGTACACGTTTGCATCGGGAGCAACTCGAGGCTCATGGTGCTATCCATTCGTCTCGTAAACCCCCAGCCCGAGTTGGAAAGTGTAAATCTCACAGCTATCTCGCGACATTTCTCAGAGACACACCCACTTTTGGTCGTAATTTCAGCCGTCCAGCTCGGGGTACCTCACAATACACCGAGCTAAACAAGGACGAACGTACGACCCGCAAAACAAAGACGGCTGCGCCCATATTGAGATGTATTTTCTTTGTATTTGTACTACGTTGGTCGTTTTAATGTTGATTTTAAATGCTCTTACACACTTACTTTACATTGCTGCTTTAGTCCGGTCCGGCAGAGCAACTCGGGCGGGGGATTTACGAGACAAATGGATAGCACCATCAGTATCTTTGCTCAAGGACACATGCAGCAGGAGGAGGAGCCGGGGATCGAATCTCCTGATTAGTGGACGACCCACTGAGCCACAACCGTGACACTCACCAGTGATTATACAGCTTGATTCCTGTGTGTTATCGAACAAACATCAGAAGCATTCCACAGCTTTGCTGGAGTTTACTTGAGATTGGAAAATGTTATTGAGGAGACACAGAAAGCAGGCGGTGGGCGTGCAGCTCAGTTTCTAATATTCTGCAGGGTAAGGCAACTATTAGAAACACCTTTAAACATAATACACTCCAGTACAGCAACACCACAAACCATTGCCTCCAAAAGGATCACAGACTTGACTCGACACCACTCTGACAGTGTGAAATCTTTCAACTCGCCTTTTATCTGATTTTCTGTCTGCTGCTTGCTGTGAAGTTGCACCGAGCTCAAGAGTTTCAACCAAGTTTACCTCTGACGGTGTGAGATTTTCTCTGTGTCTCGAGTGTGAAAAGATTAACATATTGTCTACATTAGGGACACATCTGCCACCACGATGGTGCCTAACAATAGATCAGAGTTGATGGATGCTGATGTGAGCTTTCAGTCGGGTTAGTCCTGTGATATAACAGGTCAAAGTGTTCGTTCTGCTCGAGTTAAGTGTGGAGTGGATGTGTGTATTTTACGCTAATGCTGTCAATGATGTGGGAATGGGAGAATGCTGTTTTCATAAATGTAGATTTAAATTTGCTATTTTCTAAATAGATCTAGTCAGTCCCTCACGGAAGTTGCAGTGTTGTGATCGCAACAGTTAAAGCATATTCAACCAATCCCTGAGAATCCTGTGAGAGAGAGCTTACAATTTTGTCCAATCACTGGAACTTTCCTGCTAATTTAACCAATCATTGTAGTAGCGAGCAATACATGACCAAACTCACATCGTTGTTTCGAGTTGTGAAGATGCAGACCCTGCCAACATGTGCGACACGAACGTCTCGCCTCCAAACAATTTTAATCTCATTGGATTAAGTTGTCTTATTGGATTTTTAATGAATTATACCAAAAAATAACAATTTGTTAAATTTTCTCCTTCGCAATTTAACTGCAAAAAAAAAAAGCTATATATGTTAGAAAAGCTGGCGTGAAATCAGGCATGTTACGCCACAAGAATCCCCCAAAAAAGCATTCAGGTCAAACAGAGTCAGGGTGCTGCTTGTGCATGTTAGCTCACTGGAAAGGTTCTTCTCCACTAAATGGATCCTTAATTAGTATCAGTGGTAACACCTGTGTTTACCCTACTATTTCATGTCAAAATGGCTGCTGTGAAAAAGATCTATTCATTTATTGTACATAAAAAGGGAATCCCCGATTAAAGCGTGTCTCACATAATGCCGCTTAGTGAAATCAAAGCCTCGAATGGTGATTTTCAACCAGTTTGTGGTGCTGTGAAAAATCAAAAACAAAAGCACATTTTCTATACATTAAAGCTGCAGTAGATAACTTTTATTAAATTAACTTTTTAGAATTGGGTTTATTGCCCAGCAAGTTTACACAAACGAGGAATTTGCCTTGGTGCCATAAGAATCACAATCAAGGAACTTTTAAATATACATAAAGATAGAAAGATCTAAGAGCTGTGCAGGAATGTGCAGAATTATTTTCTTATTTGTTGAAACTTTCACTATATCCTGATAGTAGTACACGAGACAGATAATCTGTGAAAAAAATCAGGTTCCTCTGGCTCTTCCTAGTGCTCCTTGTTGCAGTTACAAGAATCCACCAGGACTAAATGAAAACAACCAATCAGAGCCAAGACACTTTGGGCTGGAGGTTTAAAGATTGGTTAATTTTTTAGTCTTATTCCTAAAGTTGATATTTGAGAAAGACTTAACAATCAACTATCTTCCTTGGCTCTGATTGGTTGTTTTTGTTCAGGCCCGGTGGATTTTAACAAATGCCATTAGGAGCACTAGGGTACGGAGCCCCTAAAGGGACATGGGGAAAAAAAACCCAAAACAAAACGTTTCTAGTGCACTAGATAGTATATCTATCTATATCAGCGAGGCCATCACAAACGGAAAGTAAGTCACTCATATAGATATAGAAACTATATCTAGTGCGCACTAGATACGGAGGCTCATTTGAATATTAAAATTAGCCATGTGTTGATAGGTCACCACACGAAAATGTAACCAATGAAATTACTTATTTTGACACACATTTTAAGCCAATAAGTATTAAACTAACAAGGTAATGTGTCAAAAGGCGGACCGTTTTTGTTATTTTCTCAAAAGGAGGACAAATGAGTGTCCGGCTGCAGGACAGGGCATTTAAATGTGGACTGTAACAAAAAAGGTTACAGATTAATTTACATTTATTTTTTAGTTACAGACAAATTAGTTTAATACTCATTTGAATATTAAAATTAGCCATGTGTTGATTCGCCACAACACAGATCCTCATCTAGATAGCATCTAGTGCTCACTAGATAGTACTAGATATTATCTAGTGCATTTCATTTTTTTTTTCTTCCCCATGTCCCTTTAGGGGCTCCGTACTAGCGGGAGCCAGAGGAGCCTGATTTTATAAAAGTTATCTACTGCAGTTTTGAGGCACAGGTTTGTGTTTTAAAATTGTAATTCAGCAATCTAAATTATGCCAGTGCAGACATTGCCATTGCTAACAGCCTTTCCATATGAACCTAAGTCTCGACTGACAAACCCAGCAGTTAGCTAGTTTAGTCCTATGGTTATTCATTGATTTTTGGTTAAAAAATAAAATATATTAAAAATAATTAAACTGTATTTCACTTTTTTGTATTATATTCCAACTAGAGTCCTGACAGGATGCGTAATAGCACAGTTAATTTTCATCTTTATATCATAAAATCGGCTTTATTTCTCTCTGGATGATGTAGAGGTTTTGGCTATTGCATCAGTCAACCAGTTCCTTCTATAAATAAATGTACGTACTTCACACATCTGGTGACCAAAAACAGGTTTTTGATCTGCATCAGTAAGGAATTCCAAAGTTGAGCTTTTTTCGCATCAGTGCTTAAGATTCTCCAGAAATGCTGGGATTGTACAGTAGATATCAAATAACCAACAAACAACAATTAACAACAAATCTTCACAACAGTTAACACATTTCCAATTGAACTTTTACAGAATCTATAAAAAAAAGTTTTGCTCTTGCCTCTAGATGAAGCCACAGTCAGCGGTTGGGTGCAAGACACAACCCAACCTCTGTGTTTACACATGGCCGGTAAATTCCAGCAGACCCACAATCCACTCAACACATCTGCTGTATGATGTTTGTCTGACAGCCTTGCTTCCATACAGTGTACTAACAATCTCAAGGAAACCTTTGCAGTTCACACACAAGAAATGAGTGGACTCGGTGCTAACAGCACACGTCTCAGGGCCAGCCGTGTCGTCAGTCTCAAACTACCTGTGGACAGACTCTCCACAGCAAAACCTGTGGAAAAAATCAAGCTTTTGAAGAGCTGCAGAACAAAGTCACCCGACTAGTTTTCCACTCATGGAAACACCACGAAATTGATTAAAAAGACCAAGTATCCTGGAACTAATTGATGTTGTGTAGTTGCATATTTTGACTGTCGGGAGGATAATTTGTATGACACTTTAAAGCAGGTTTACCAGATGCAAAGTGGAACTGACTTGCAGTGATCTTTACGGCGTTGCGTCTATTTTTCCAGATCTGCAAGCTAAATTCTCATACCTCCATACATACAGCCCCTTGATGGTCAGATTTCTTGTTGCTGTGGTTGATAAATACATGCAGAGTGATGTTAATTGTAGGTGCAATAAACACTTTAAGTTTCTAGAAGATGAATCTTTCTTTTATTCATATTATATATATATTACATCAATTCTACTTATGGTACTTGTGGGCTGTCACCAAATTAATGTAGTCAATTTGCCTGAAACTACAGCTTGTATGACCATTTGTAAGCAAGTGCTATCCTGGATTGTCAAGAAAAACTTCTGGAAAATGTCCTGGAAAAGTCCCGGAAACCTGTTAGGGGATGACTGTGCATCCTTCCAGCCCAAGAAAACAAACAGTCTGCTGGCCACCCCACGCCAGTCCTCTTCTCGGCCAAATTACACAGAGCAAAGCAAAATCAGTCCCAATGACCTAATAAGTGTACGTATCATTAATGGGTTGATGTCTGTCTTTCATTATGAGAATGATACTCTGTAATCATGCACATAGTAAAAATGTTTCAGTTTTATATAGTGAGTGTAAACAATTTAAATTCATGTAAAAAAGTGAAAGAAACAGAACACTTGTACTGGGTTGGTACTGTAATCTATTGGCCAAAAACCTGAGTTTAGCTTTTCAATATTGTATCAGGGGAGAAAACATGCGTCCTCATGTAGACTATTTCGCGGAGATACCGACCTCACTAATGAAACTAATGAAAATCTTTGCTGATTATTGGATTTGAGACTTTTTGAGGCCGCGCTGTCATCCTGTATGAGTGACTAAATTACTGCAACGTTAAGCAGAGGGAATTACTGTGTGGCTGGAAGTTCAGGCATGGTAGGCTATTGTGACTGAATGAAGGATGGTGAAACACTGATACTGGTACTGCATACAGTATGAGGGTATGTGTGTGTCTGTGTGTGTCTACCTGCAGGAGATGTGCGGTCGTTCACAGGCAATATCTTCCAGATGTTCAGAGGTCAAGACAGTGATGCACCTTGGAATCACGGATTTTCTTTCCCCACATTCTAACCTGTTCATAATTTTAATATGCTATATATTTATGACAGTATTAGACTACAACATCTGGACCACATATGCAAGCGATGGTGCCAAATAGTAGACATTTGGCACAGGGGGACTGATATGAAAAGTATGTATTTCATCCATCACGATGAAAAAAAAACTGTCTTTAAGTAAGACAAGGATATATTTCACACAAACCTCTTATCAACAATTTTAAGTATTAGAATTTAGTTTTAATCCAAACTGTAGTCAGACCGACATCTTTAAAGATTCTTATATAAAATGTGTTTTATCACACGTATATGTTGAAATCCAGGGTGAGAGCTATGTGATAAAAGGTGGGGTTACATTTTATTCAAACTGAAACAAAGAGTTTGTTTGTTTGTGGTCCCTCCATGCTCAAAAACATACTAGGCATAGACCGATTATCAACCAATATTCAAAATTTTTCAGATTTTCTTTATCTTTTTTTGTCCTATTGCTGATAAAATAGTATTAAAGTGTGGTTCTACTACTTTAGCATTATCTGATTGGTTACACGTCAGGTGTAATATGTTTTAGATAAAGCTGAAAAGTTCTCTTTTGCAGCATTTAATTAAATATAATTATGCTGAAAGTACTCAGATCTTAAGTAAAAATACCACAGTGTAAAAATACTATTTTACAAGTAAAAGTCCTAAAAGTACAAAGGTAATGGCATCAAAATATACTTCAAGTAACAAAAGTAAAATTGCAGAATCATATATATTGTATGACTGGATTCAATTAATTGATGCATTAAATCTCCAGACAACCCCAGCCATGCCCTGAACTCAGTCTTCACTCAACTCCCATCATTTCACCATAATTTCTACCCTTAATGCTCGGAAAGTGAGGGTGAAGCGAGTAAGCTGCAATCTGCAACTACACCTCTAGATGGTCAAATCCTACTCACTGCTGGTTACATATGTTGTTTTACACATTGTTCGTTCTAGCATTCCTTTCAATATCAAAATTCAACTTGAAGAAACCTCAAACTTGAGATAACTAACCCTCCAGGTCGGTCTCTGTCAGTCCATCTGTTCAGTGTGGTTGACTGTCAGTCCCCCCCCCCATCTGTTTGATTGTTTGCCTAGTATTTTCCTTTCTAGCCCCCTGACTTATTTTGTGTCTTGTTTTCAGACATTCGACAGCAGAGAGCAACAGAAGCACAAGAGTCATAGAAACCAGGATCTGCTGCCGCTGGCATGTTTCAGAGATGCTCAACTAGTCAATGAAGACCTGAAGTCCGTCGACCCATGTGTGTCCCGCTAAGCACAGACACTGAAAAGTTGCAGACACCAGTGTTGTAGGAGTGTGTGCGAGTGTGTGGCTGACCATTGTGTCTGTGATCACACACTGTGCTGTGTTTAAAGCACTGTGGAGCTGAAGACTTCAGCCCAAGAGTATGGTCCAACTGTCCACATCAGTCTGCCTGCTGGGAGGCCTTCTGGGTAAGAGACTTCTACACATGCGTGTTTTCCGCTGTAATTGGTGCTGAGATGGTTTTTATTTTGTGTCCCAGTGTAAAAAGTGTAATGGAATTGCTCTCTCCCACTCCTACTCACTGGTCCTTGTTTTCATATGTGACATTTGGTGATGTTTTTCATCAGACCCCTTATATCTTGGTGGCTAATTGTGTGCCAGTGTGGAGGGTTAATCCAGTGGCAAAGTGCAGTTTTGGTATCCATTATGTCCTTATATTCAAAAAGGCCAATGATATATAACTTAAGGTGCATTGGAGCTGCACCAACTACAGCAGTTCTCAGAAAAATCACATATTTTTCTCAAGGAATCAAGGAAAAATTTAAAGTTTGTAGTTCCTTCATGCTACACACATAATCAATAAATAAAAATCTATAAATCTATTTATATATCTATCTAATCTATATATATATATATATTTATATACATATATAAATATATTATCTACATGTTATAACCACTATACACTAAGAAATAATCCTGCAGTGCATCTTTTCCATTTGCGCTCTGTTGAATGTCTGTTTTTTTGTTTGTTTCATTACATTCCTCCATTACATTTTCTCTAACCCTGTAAGTATATTCTGCCGTCTCTGTAACTCATTATAGTACATATAGTGAAGAAGCTTGTGATGTCCTACAGTAACAAGGCCAAATTTGGTTATGATATTATGGAACAGAACATTTGTTTCCTCTGGAGAGTTACTTACTATACTGCTCTGTTGCAGCCCCGTCAGTGGCTAAAACAGACGCTTCAGTTCCTTTCGGCAGCTGATATCATCGTTGCATATAAATGTAGTTAATCGCTGTTAGTTGGAGCAGCACAACTCTACTGCACAGTCTTTAGACCTGAAAGAACATTTGTACAACTGTACAGTCCAATCAAGTGGACCTTAAATATTGTAAACAGGTCTGATACTGATGATTTTATCCATTAATAGGTTCATCCTTAAGTCTGTAAAAGTCTGTGTCCTGCATAGGCTGCTGTATTACTAAAAATAACTGAGATTACAGATGTATTTATGCACCTGGATCCCTGCTCCTTGTCTGCCAGTGTCCCAGTGGGAGTGCTGTTGTCAGCCCCTGTGATGGATGGTGCCCTGTTTGTACCATGTGTTTGGTGGTGAATTGGTCCCATTGCGAGGCGTCTTGTGGCACCCTCGAGGGCGTTTGTGCATTATAAGTCTGGAAATGAGGATTATCAGTATTTCACTCTGCAATGTTTAAATGTATTTATTTATATACGTATAGGTGTTAAACATGTAAGACGTCATTTGTTTGAGTCATTTGACGCTAATTGTGTGATTTCAAAATGATGAAGCTTGTGTCATTCCTAATTGACGGGTGTGTTCACATTTTCACCGTTACCCGAGGAAAGACACGTGTAGTCAAATAGCTGACAAGGTGCAGTGTTTTTTTGTCAGATTTTTATGTATTTTCTCCAAATTTCTCCTAAAACGAGAAGTTCAATGGTGTCTTAACCCTTGAGCCACAGAACCTGGTAGAGCTTGGTCTGACCATGATTGATGCTTGCCCCAAACACACCCACTGCATTCCTCCGAATGGCAGCCCGTTCCCAACTGCACGATGGAAATATGAATAGTCTATGCTCTGCAGTCTTGGCGCCTTAACTGTCCTCCTTGCTTTGATCGATTAAGCCAGTGTTGTTTGTCTTTGTAAGGGGAGAAAAGAGTTAACAGGGATTTGTACGTGAGGAATTAGTCACTTTATCATGTGGAAGTTGACAACCACGGAACCATTCTTCAGGTGGATCAGTCTCACACTGAACAAATATTCAGCCTCTCTGTGTGAGAGCCCAGTTGGATGACAACCACTACCAGGTGAAGGTGAAGACTGCTACTTGCTCCGTTGTCCTTTAATCTTTTCTTTCTTAGAAAAACTGAAATGTTGGACTTTTAAAAAAAGCAAATTATGTATTTTATATTTCTTTTGTTTTACTTACTGTTATTTTAAAAAAGTTACTTTTTAGTCTCGTGTGCGTGTTCCCCGGATGTATTGTAAATTACTAAGGGCCGTTTATTTAACCTCTCCTCATCTCACCCTAACTAGACGTTTGCCATTAAATATTATTCAAGAATAATGTATTGTACATCGGGGTCTAGGCTTGGTTTTAGACAATTGTGATCCTTGTAGACAGATTTTTATAATATTGCTTGGAAGCCTTCTTTGCACACAGAGAAGCTGCAAAGATGCAGCGTTTTCTTTAATCAAAGTCTCTTCAGTGAAATGTAGAAACCTTCGTTTTGACCATGAGTCTGTCTGCTGCAGGCTATAGCAGGTTTATCGGAGCATTAGGACACTATTATTACTATTATAGTGAAATAAATTACTATTTATTGTCTCACCGAGCACAAGTAGTACTGAGACAGCCGGGGAGATCAACAATGAGGAGAGATGACCTCAGGCTAACCTCACTTGACAGAGGCCCTGCTGCTGGACATTTAAATGACAACCTTTGCCCAGGACAACAGCTTTTGGACAGATTTACTGAAGGACTTTGTTCTCAGACTTCAAAGATCACTTGAAGAGTAGGAATCACCTAACCTATCACCCACTAAGAGTTATTTACTACAAATCATTACTTATCTGTAGTAGTTCACAAAAAAATTGAACAATATGTATCCAGTAGCAGTTGTGTCTTGTATGTGCTTTGGTCTGAGTGAATCAAATAAAGTAATTTCCATAAAATCCAGACCAGGGCTCTAATGGAGACCTGTGTGGAGACGTGCAGCCACACCGGCTGCTAAAGGAGACCCGCGTCTATCTGCTTCTATGCAAAGTTTTACGGTGTATATGCTGTATGATAAAAGCTACAGTATGGTAAATGACGATCTACTGGTCCTGTCTGATAATGTGAAGCATGATTAATGACATCGCTGACAGCTCCACTCAGCAGCTGCTTATGCTAAAGGAAGCTTCACACACACATTGGAAGAGCTGTCTCAAAACTCCCCAGTCTGGAGCTTTTAAGCTGAAAAGCTTAAAGACTGTTCACCATCTTCCAGTTGTTGGTCATTTCTAACTACCCAGTTAGCTGACACTGACATGGTGCAATCAGCTAGCTGGATCTCCGTCAGGTCTACGTTTTCATAAAAAGGATTGGTGGTTCTTCGAACAAACAAGCCAGACACAAGCCTGCAATTGAGTGCACTAACTGGACAACAGCCCACTGGTTGTGTAAGTTGACTTAAAGGTCCAGTGTGTAACATGTAGGAGGATCTATTGGCTGAACTTTAATATAATATTCATAGGTATGTTTTCATTAGTGTAGAATGACCTGAAGGATCGCTGTGTTTTCGTTACCTTAGAATGAGAGGTTTTTATCTACAGAGATAACAGTTGTTAGTCTGTATAACTTCACGTTTACTCCTCTAGGTTGGTAAATGGACCAGAACTACAATGCAACAATTTTTCATTTTGTCCCTTGTTTTGGAGCAAATGAACCCGATTACAGGTGTGAATACAGACCTGCTGATGGTTGTACAGAGCTGTGTTGGTATCTGCACTACAGCAACTTTTTCCACACCCTACTATGGATCTAAACAGAGCTGATGTATTAAAACCAAGGACTGAAATGTAGTTGAGTCCAAAGAGGTTCGAGTCCAAGTGAAGGCCGGCTCAAATGAGAGAGACAGAAAAAAAAAAGAGCTGTTGCCATTGCCAATGAGTTCTTGCTTTTGATTTGCCGCCTTGTAAGCCAGTGTCAAAGCCCATTGTAGATGGATTTTGAATTAAACCAATACCTGTTTTCTGAGCGTGCTTCATCAATAATTGGTTTTGAAGACCGAACCTGGCTCGAGTACTACAGCGTTGGTTAAAACATAAGGAGACAATGTGGATATAGATGGATTGGAAACAGGGCAGGTGAAGACAACCACTGCTCTGGGAACATTAAATAACTGCAGGTCTGCCAACAAATCAAAGCTACATAATGCTGTCATCAGCGTATCCAAAGAAAAGCACAGATTAACGGACATCACGCCGTTTAGGAACATCCCCCGCTGGCTGTTTCTTCAGAATACTGACCCTTTTAGTCATTTTGCAACCCACTATGTTACCTTTGGTTTTAATGTCCAGCAGCTGCAGCCAAGGGCAATATCTAAAGCTTACTTCACTCCTGACATTCATGTGATTGACGTGGCCCTCATAATCCCCTGGCTTTAAAAGCATGTGGACAAACAAAGTGGAGGGAAGCATTGCCCAGGGATAAACAAGGAATGAAGTCAGGATTCCAAAATCATCAAGGTGAAGATTGCCCCGTTTCTAGCTACAATAACTTAAAAAAAAACATGTATAATAATCATTTTTATTGTATTTGTATTATTTGTAATTGTGTTTCTTGTCAAAATTTTACTGCACTGGTGTTTAGTATATACTTTGGACAGGGAAACCCCATAATAAATTATTCCCCAGAATCTTGGATCAAAGTTTTACAGCCAGTGGAAGAAATGGAGACACAGTGTAATTCAATCTCTTCACCAAGGATGGGTTTCAAATTTAAAGACAACAGTCAGTCTGCTACAAACGCAGTCGGACATCTGGTGTATATTTGCTTCAGATGTCCCTGAGGTAATATCAGAAAACTGTTCAAAGAGAATATTATCATATTTCTTGATCACTGTACAATACCCCAGGTTCCTTCTGTGAAGCTGTAGAAGCATATATCAGCTAATTTGACAAAAATGAATCAATGAACATTATTATTACTGTTATTATTATAACGGTATTGGAGCTGCATTTATTGTATGAAAAGTGCTCTATAAAATGCTTTACAACAAAGAAATTACATGCAGAGTGCTTCACATGAAAAAGACCAAATTAACATAAAGAAAAGGATAGCATGCCATAATCAATGGAAAATAAGATGGAAAATAAAACCCACTGAATGAACAACTGTGCATGCAGTGGATGGATTTTATCTGCCGTGAAGGAAGGCAAATGAGGAAGTCAT